TATCGTCACAGGCCGTACGTTCCATCCCTTCTAAACCCACAACGACCAGAATTTGCGAGATACGTCATTGATTACTATCCAAGCAAGAGACACAAAATTTGTATTTCTTCGAATTCCACGCAACAGAGAAAAACGGCAAGAGGGGTAATGTATGAATACGGGTGAACACTTACATTAGACATGAAGCTTAGTGAGCTCTATGTAATTATTTATCTGTAGGGAAAGAATATCCATTTCAAAATACTACAAAGGATCGGTAAAAAGAAAAAAAATCTACAAAAAGTGAATTCCGATGGCTATGATATGAATCAGGAAGATAATAATAATCCGTAGGCTATTCAGTCTAAATTATTTCTACCACATTCCTCATCTCATTTCAAACTTTCACGCTTTCCATTCTATTTTCCAAGGTCAAAACTTCAAGAACCTTCCACTCCAGTAAGTCCCATCTCCAATAAACTAGTTCAGCAATCAAGAACTCTGAATTTAGGTCTTACACCGGAACAAGTTTTGTGTGATGCGCGCGAAAGATTAAGCTGGTGCATGAAGTCGAAGGTTGTGTTTCGGAAGCATACTCTTAACTCGTCTAAAAACGTGGACGTGGTCGGATTGGATGACGAGTAAAGTAAAAAGAAAAAGGAGCCAAAAAAAAAAGTTACCGACCAATGTGCATTCTTGTATAAAAGCACAGATCCCAAATAATTTTTTTCTTGCTTTATATTTCTCTGTAAAAATAGTTTTCACTTATTATAATATACATTAGTAATTAGTAATATACAAAATAAAATAATTGATCATTCAAAGATAATTCAATGTAAAAAAACCATCAATTCCGAATTGGACGAATCCTCAATAGTCCCTTATATTCCCATGAGACTTCTGAGTGATTCTTCTTTTTCTCGAGTCAAAATTTTAACGGCATGAATTTCATCATAGTATTTATTACAATATTATCTATATGATTCTAATGTTGACAGATGTAGCTGTCATGTAAAATGTTATGATGGATACATATATAACAATGCAAAGTACAAGACCCTGACAGGTTGGAGTGTCGTTAAAAATCGGGATTTAATGAAAGTAGCACGGATGGTCCCCAAAACAATAATTCATATTTACCTTAAATAATTATCTTCCCTCAGTTATGTTATCATCAACGCTAAAAGATCAACTATCACCCATAAGTCGATCTTTATCAACACATTAAATGTTCTAGTAAATAGCATGCTTTTCCCCCAACCAGTCCCACTGAAGTGACCTGCGGCCCTTGTAATCATCCAATCTACGAGTTCTGACTAATGGATTCTCCTGAAGTCGTTCCTCGACACGCTTCCACAGATAAATGCGAGTGAGATCGTCTGTAACTTGGTGCATGACGGACTCTCGCCATTGTTCTGAAACAATTTCGCGGTCTTGCTTCATGAGGTTCAGAACGGTGTCCGTGGCTTTACGAACCTGGTACGCTTCCCACTTTTTTCGTTTGATGTAGAAAACCATCCTAAGTATGATGAGGAAACCAA